AGTCATGTAGTATAGCCATAAATACGCATATGTACAATTTCACAAGTTTTTATTGATTCTACAACCGTCTCACCTGTACAATTTCGAAAACACCACTATCCATTTGTATCACTGTAAAAGATGCCAATGTCTCTACTCACCAGGTGAATCTGTCCTCGGAAACCATATTAGAGATGATAGGATGGAGACATGCCTCGCCATTGCGTGAACTTCGTGATGGCTGGAAAACTTCATAATAATGACTATCCAGGGCGGAGCACGATAAGTGGACGGAATGATGCAAAACTGATTCACGGATATCTACCAGTCAAGACATTTGTAATGGCGAGAACCATACGGAAACACTGATGAGTTAGCTATTCTTTGAGATCCCTGATAAAAAAATCTTCTTGACCATCATTTTGCGTTAAGATATTTGACAAGAGTTCATAGCTATGAGAAAAGTTCTAAGAATGTAGAAGTTGGAGACCCTACTTACTGCATCACTAATCCATCCTCCTTTCTTACGAAAAAAAATCAAGACAGGGGCGTCCTTTTTGTTCTATTTTCCTTCTCTGCGTTTCAGCTCTACTCCGAAACTCATTTAACAGTGAAATCCTGAATAGTAATGGAAGAAATACGATATATTTGGTTGGCTAATCAACACATTATGTAGCTACGAATATAAAAAAGACCTTTACAGATTTAGACACTTTTTATGCTGTATTACTTAACTAATTAATAATTTATCTACTACAGGAGATGAATCGGGATTTCGTTCCAGATGCTCGTGACTCCTACTAGACTATCAAGTCTAAAAACTCCAAGCTTCAAATCCAGAATGTTAGCCTAAGCTGTTCGATCAAGCCGACCCGTCAACCCTCCCAGAACAATACAGTCAACAATACAAACATCAGACGTGGGACTAAATATGGAACCAGCCTCAAATTCGGGTGAAATAAAGGAAATTAAATGTCGTCTTCTTTTGCTACTTACTAGATACATGTGAATTCGCTAAAGTAAAAAAGGAAGTTGGGCAACGAAGTGTGTATAAAGCGTGCTGGCCCAGTGACCCAGTGAACCCGCACAGTCCAAAGTCCACCTCCCATGCATCGAATTATTGTGGTCAAAATTATCAGCATGGGCCGGTCAACAGTGAACCAAACGGTATTTTACCGATAGTAAGTTACTACATATAATACAGTATCAACACTGGAAGTAGCAGTGACTGTAGGTAAATGGATCTCTTTTTNTTTTTTAACGTTCTATGAGGCTTCTACAGCTGTAGGAACTTCCAGAGAAATCTAATCCGTGGGCGTGCCTTGAACAAGAATCCATCGATAATGGAGCTCTTGTTCTCTTCTCAGGAAGGCATTTGGATGTTTCGCAAATTTTGATTTCCATGCAATCAAAACAATTAGCAGTAGTATATAAACTAAATGGCTAGTCTCGGAAAGACGACCTCTTCCTTCGTGTCGGAACCTCGAGAAACTCCAACAGAGGACCAATCCCAGAAACAACTGAGAGAGAGGTAAGCAAAGTCGAGTATTAGGCAATCTATTTGAAATTAGATTTTAATTGGCAATAGTATCAAATTCCAAGCATATTAAAATTACAAAGATCAGGCAACACTCAATAAGGGCTTTCTTGTTTCCCAGATACCTGGTCTTAGTCTGTTCACTTTGTCCTCACAAGATAGGGAACATGGTCGAGGAGAAGTTAATCGTTTGACCGTACGTCTATAGCATTCATTGTATTAGCAACACCTTTAGCCTTTGCTCTAATTCCATACTTGCTTTTCATTCGAAGTGTTCTTAGTTTTCTTTGACTCGTAAGCGTTTTAACTGATTTGTT